AAAAAAAAAAAATTATTAAATATAAAGGATAAAATACAGATAAGAAATTCGGGCAAAGGTAAGCAAGTATCCAAACAATTTATTAATCTGTAACTTGATTGCAACATACCATTTCATCTTAACTTTGCAAAGCCAAGATCCAGTACATTGTACTTATTTCAACAGTGACTGTCTCTAAGCATAATGTCGTTAGCATAAATAGTTCATCACTAGTGCCAAGAAGCAATAAAACACGTTAGTGTCTCCCGGGAAGAGCCCCCGAGGTCTGTTGTAAAGGAGCTACAGAGCAGTCACCTTCATTCCATTGGCTGGCTGAAGTCAAGCCTGGGCAGTCAGGAAGCTTACGCATGTGAGATGCCCTCAGACATCCAGGAGGCTGCAACACATGTACTGTGGAGAACCCATGCACTCTGCTGTGCAAACAGGTAGGACAGGGGTGGGGGTGGGTGTGGCTGGGGGCCCGGACAGGATGGAGGCTCGAGGTTCACAGCCAGGAGTGAGAGGAGGCCTAGGCAGCGAAGGGAAGAACTCACCACATCCTCACCAACCTCAGCAGAACGCTGGAAGCTGCCACCTGGTCCATATGACCACAGACCCTGCCAACTTCCTAGGCTTCCCATCCCCACACCTGTAAGATTAAGATGTAAAGAAGAAAATTTCAGTTGCTCTCCCCATCATGAAATTAGACAATTCCTAAAGTCCCAGTGCCACCTTGTCCTCACATGATAGTAATAAAATCTAATTGAACATATGGAGACTTAAAGTCACAGATAAATCTAGTACCCCAAGATTTGCATTATATGACCTCATAGCTAATGAATTTTCAGAAATACTACCCGAACAAAAACACTGTTATACTTAAATAAAAGATTAAACAGGATTAATACACTTCCATTTTATGAATTTCAAGATCATCTTTTTAAATTATATCTTGCCGGGTGGTGGTGGTGCACACCTTTAGTTCCAGCACTCGAGGGGCAGAGGCAGGCAGATCTCTCAGTTAGAGGCCGGCCTGGTCTACAGAGTAAGTTCAGGATAGCTAAGGCTGTTATACAGAGAAACCCTGTCTCAGAAAAAAATATATACATATATATAATTGTATCTTATTACTCAACAATAAAAATAACAGTTTTAATATGTGACATCATGGATGGATCTCAGTTACCCTGAGTGAAAAAAGCCCAAGCACAAAGTTAACGGTCCAGTGCTCCTACCCCTTCCCAGGCAACCACTGATCTTCTCTGACTGTAGACAGAATGTTTAACATGATTGGAATGCTTGTAGGGGCTCTCCTATGTTTTAATTTTAAATGGATTTTAGGAACTCAATACAGAAGCATAATATGACTCTCTGGATGCAATTTGTAATTGTTCTTTTTTTTTCCCCCCGAGACAGGGTTTCTCTGTGTAGCTTTGTGCCTTTCCTGGATCTCACTTGGTAGCTCAGGCTGGCCTCCAACTCACAGAGATCCGCCTGGCTCTGCCTCCCGAGTGCTGAGATTAAAGGCGTGCGCCACCACCGCCTGGCTAATAATTGTTCTTTTAATCACCTTCTTTGGAAAGAGAAACTCTTGGGGAAGCAAGCACTTCAGAAGAGAAAGCATGGGAAATGTGTGTCAGTGCAACCAGAACAAAGGTCTCTTATTCTAGAGGCATCCATGTGTTTGAAAAGAAGCCGCCTAGCTCCCTTTATGTAACAGCATGAATACACTCGGTGAAAAATTCAAGATGCTTTCATTTTTCAGAGAACTAAGCTGATGTGCAGCAAGATGAAGGCCACATATCATTTACTTGTGCAGAATCTAAAGTTGGGCGAGAGAGATGACTCACAGTTAAGAGAGCATATTGCTCTTGCAGAGGATCAGAGTTCATCTCCTAGAACCTACACTGGGTATCTCACAAATGCCTAGAACTCCAGCTCTGGGGGATCTGACACACTCACACTCATATACACACACGCAAACACATTCTGTCTTGGTCAGTGTTCTATTGCTGTGAAAAGACATCATGGCCACAGAAATTTTTGTAAAAGAAATTATTTAATTTGGGCTTGCTTACAGTTTCAGAGGTTTCATCCATTATCGTCATGGAAGGGAGCATGGTGTCACTCAGGCAGACGTGGTACTGGAGAAGGAGCGGAGAGCTCTACATCTGGGACTAGCAGGCAGCAGGCAGCGTCAGCCACTGGGACTGGCTTGGGCTTCTGAAACCTCCAAGCCCACCCTTAGTGGCCTACTTCCTCTAACAAGGCCACACTTCCTAATCCCTGTGATACCAAGTAATACCATTCCCTGAGGACTAAGTATTCAAACTTAGTCTAGGGGGGCCATTTCTATTCAAATCACCATAATACATGCACATAATTAAAATCAATCTCTAAGTTGTCTTTACATCCTGAAATTAACTTTTCTTCTTTTCTAGATAGTGAAGTTTTCACAGCTGAGTTTCATGCACATGGTGACTTAATTTTTGTAGGCGTAGATCAGCAATTCTAGATGTATCTCAGAGTCTCACTAAAGGATCCCTTCATGTTGGAGTAGTTGAAACACTTAAACCTTAAGATTAGTGATTGTTGGGGCTGGAGAGATGGCTCAGTGGTTAAGAGCACTGACTGTCCTTCCAAAGGTCATGAGTTCAGTTCCCAGCAACCACATGGTGGCTCACAACCACCTGTAATGAGATCTGGTGCCCTCTTCTGGCCTGAGGGACACACACAGGCAGAATGCTGTATACATAATAAATAAATCTTAAAAAACATAAAACAAACAAACAAAAAGATTAGTGATTGTCCATGTCTCATCTTCCTGTGGTCACGTGAGCAG